AGATTTACCGTAGTGAAATTAAGCTCTTGGTGACGTTTAAATGCGTGTGTGTATTTTTTGCTATCAGAAAAAAATATTAAAGTGAACATATTTCTGTACATATTTTTTCCTTCTTTTGCATAATTTACTTAAGGTAAATTTTTAGAATCTCTGAATGAAAGACTAATAAGATTTCTAGGGCTTGTAATATAAGTTATTAATGTCTCAAGGTTGGGTACTTATGTGTATACTCACCAGTATATTGGTGACTGTTTCACAGAACCCTTGCCAGCTTCTTTGATTATATAAGCAAAAATTTTATTTCTTAGTAAATCTTATGGGAATGATTTGTGTCCTTTGCCTGTTTATTTATTGTGGGTCTTGATATGACACATTTTTTAATATTCTTCGTAGAGGAGGAACATCATTTAACCTTGTACTTCCTTTCCTCCAGTATATTATTTGATGTTAAACATTTTTAAAAAAATGTATTTATTTATTTTTGGCTGTGTTGGGTCTTAATCTCTGTGAGAGGGCTTTCTCTAGTTGTGGCGAGCGGGGACCACTCTTCATCGCGGTGCGTGGGCCTCTCACTGTGGCGGCCTCTCTTGTTGTGGGGCGCAAGCTCCAGACGCGCAGGCTCAGTAGTTGTGGCTCACGGGCCTAGCTGCTCCGCAGCATGTGGGATCTTCCCAGACCAGGGCTCGAACCCGTGTCCCCTGCATTGGCAGGCAGGTTCTCAACCACTGCACCAGCAGGGAAGCCCTGGATTGGTTGTTTTAAACAAAAAATTCACAAGATGCAGCCAGAACTATCCTCAGAGATAAACACGTATCTCTAACAGCTTGAATACTTTTTTTAAAAAATAAAGAAACTAAATAAATGAATGAAACTGTCCACTTGAGCATTTAGACAAAACAGAACAGACAAGTAATCGAGAAATAATGAAAATTTTTATAAAGATAAAAGCAGAAATAAATGAATTAGAAAGGAGGAAGATACCAGAATCAATAAATTTAAAAGCTGGTTCTTTGGCAGGGGGAGGGGGTAAAGGCGCCACAGCTACTGAGCCTGCACTCTAGAGCCCGCAAATCACAACTGCTTAGGCTGTGTGCCAAAACTACTGAAGCCTGTGCGCCTAGAGCCCGTGCTCCGCAACAAGAGAAGCCACTGCAATGAGAAGCTCACGCACCGCAACGAAGAGCAGCCCCTGCTCGCCACAACTAGAGAAAGATATTCATCATAGCTTCGTTCTCTTTCCAGTTTCCTGCTTTTAATGCTCAGCTCCAAGCTTTCCTTGGAAAGATGCATAAAGGATGCAAAGATGTTTGCATCCTTTATGGTTAGTATCTCTTGGAGATCTAAAGTTTTGCCTCTTGGAGGCAGTTTTTTCCTGGAAGCCACACATACCTGAGTGTGGCTTTCTATGATCTTCACACCTGAACAGCCACCCAATTGGGCATGGAATTCTTGTTGCTCAAATTTTCTCCCTCAAAACTTTTCTGGTATTAATTATTTTTTCAGAGAGGTTTCCAGGAAACTGGGTTGGTTTGTTCACAGATGTTTGTAAGGTTCTGCATTAATGACATTTAAAGGTGTAAGTGGGACATCTGGGAGTGGTTTTCTTTCCAAAAATTTTGCGTGAAACGTGGCTCCTCTCAGGCACCAGCAAGTTCTCATCTCTGTTGTTCATTTCAGTGCAGCCCCACCTCTCAGGCACCAGCTGCTGGTGGTTAACAAAGGTCCTCTCAGGCCCTTCAGTCTATTCACAGACCTGATTTGCTTGACCCATGACCTTTCCCCATTCATTCTATTTCCTTCCTAGTATGAGGCCGGGACCAGGGCCCTGGTGACTAACAGCCCAGCTGGGGCCATGCTCACGTTGGACTGCTTCTAGCTAACGACTGGGCTCCATGGAAGCACTGGTCCTGGGAGATTCCTGCTAGACACGGAACTTCTCCAATGGGCAACTTGGGCTTAGGGACTCTCCGTCGACCTGGCCCATCATTCTCAGAGCTGCACTGTGGTCTGAGGGCTCTCCCTGTCCACTCCTATCCCTTTCCCTTTATCCTTCACAGGCCTTTCCCCTAGTAAATTTGTCAAATGTCTAATATTGTCTAAGCATCTGCTTCGCAGCCTCCCACCCACACACCCACCTTACAGTGCGATCAGTTGATTGCAGTGGGTCCCTGAGTCGGCCGGAACAGGAGCTATCAACAGCCCCAGGCAACGGGTCACGAGTGGGGAGGTTGCTGGCTCCTACTACCAAGTAGATTGGTTTTTACTGGCAGCCCATCTTTGAGAAAAAAGTGAGTATTTTATCTCTTACTGCAGCCTGAAGCCTTTTTATCTTATTCCAGTGAAGTTCCTGATCTTTTTGTAAAAAAGATTGTTTAAAAGATGGTTTCTTTGAACTTTCAGAGGGAATTCAGAGGATTAATTTTTTAGAGTTTCTGCTCACTCTACCATTAGCTGGAAGTATTTTTTTCAACCTGATTTCTTTTTGCTAGTCCACAGAGTGCTTTTCTAGCTTCAAAAATGACCATTTGAAAAGCTCCCATTTGAAGTCATTCAGCGGACTTCCCTGGTGGTCCAGTGGTTAAGACTCCTCACTCCCATTGCAGGGGGCCTGGGTTCGATCCCTGGTCAGGGAACTAGATCCCACATGCCACAACTAAGAGCCCGCCGCAACTAAGACCCGGCACAGCCAAGTAACTAAACAAATAAACAGATATTTTAAAAAAATGAAGTAATTCAGCAATTCAAAAGTGACCTTTAGGATCGTCCTGCTGAAGGACGCTGATAGCTGAGTATTGTCTCTTTTCCACACAAATACCTGGTACAATCAATTCAGACGAATCCCAGCATCCTAGAATGGATGCTTTCCGTCAGGCCATTTTTCTCTGTTTTGCATCGGTTTGTTCAATTCAGTCATGTTGTGGGCTTGAGTTTGGATTTATCTTTGAGCATCACCGATTTCTTTCTTGGCCACTTCAGTTCTAATCTTTGAATCATCAGCGATGTGCACTGGGTTCACCCATGGAGTCTGCCTGAGCATGAGCCAGCCAAAAACAGATGCCCAAGTTCCTTTTTTTGCAGCCTTGTCGAATCTCTTTAAGCACAAGCTTGTATTTGTTCTTATCTTTGCGGTTCTTGGTTTTCTGCTGCTTCTGATGTTGAAGGTGACTTCTCTGAGCCAAGTGAGATTTCCTCTTCGGTGTTGCAACACCTTTCAGTTGGATCGGATTGGGCTCTTGCCTGTTCTCACCATTTTTCTTTTGTTTTTTTTTTGCGGTACGTGGGCCTCTCACTGTTGTGGCCTCTCCCGTTGTGGAGCACAGGCTCCAGACGCACAGGCTCAGCGGCCATAACTCACAGGCCCAGCCACTCCGCGGCATGTGGGATCTTCCCGGACCGGGGCATGAACCCATGTCCCCTGCATCGGCAGGCGGACTCTCAACCACTGCGCCACCGGGGAAGCCCCTTCTCACCATTTTTGAAATTTATCTTGTCGGTTCCAAACTATTCTAGCTATTTTTTGAGATACTCTTGTTGGATAGTTCGGCATATTTTGTTGGGAGGGGGCAGCCTGCCAGCTTGCAGTTAATTTATTCCAGGCATCCTAGTGTTGGGGCAGTTGCACCTGGGGCTTATGCTGCACAACTTCAGGAGGTGCCATTCACCCAGACCACAGGAGTCTAGAGCTTTGGATATGAGTAAATACATTTTCCTAGATCTCTCATGATATAAACCTATAAGAAAAGTTAGCACATAGGAAAATGTAGAATTTTTGGAAAGCCACCAAATCAAATAATGTATATTACATATTTACTATATATAGTGCTCAATGGATAAGAGATAAATGTGTTTTTTTGTTTTGTTTTTTGCTAGCAGTTAGAGGGGGTTTCGGAATGGCATTCTCTATAGGGTCTTAAAAGTACTCAGCTCCTTCCTTCCCAAGGGCTTGTGACTTCCCTCTCTCTGCTGGCTTCCAGCTTCCATCTGCAGCCACAGCTGCAGCCTTGATCATCTTGTCCCTGAGGTCAGCTCTAATTTTCTACCTGTCCAAAGGCCTTTCTTTGCCTTGAGGAGACCTCAAGCCCTTACTTCATTCCCTCTGGGAATGTTCTTTCTTCCATGTTTCTCCAATTTCTGTCTGGTTTTCTCCTCGGAGACCAAGAGGCTTTAGCAGCTTCAGACTTTATCCTCCCAACTCCAAATCCCAAAGAAAAAGCCCCAACCCCCTTCCAAGAAACCCAAGCAAGAGTTTCATTGCTTTTCATTGCCTCTGGGTCTATTGTTCATCCCTGGACCTATAAATGGACCAATGACAGTGTCCAGGGGAATGTGATGCACTGATTGACACCAGCCCTACATTCGGGGGTGGGGTGAGCTCTGTCCAGCCTTCGGGGTGGGGGTGGGGTGGAGCAGAGGGGTAACATATAAAGAGGAGCTGGGTGCTGAAAACAGCATTTGAAGCTGTACAATCTACAGCTCAAGTCAGCCCTGCCCTAGTTTTCATGTTTCAGTTCTGTGAAATTCACTCTTTGATGAAACCAGTTTGGGTCAGGGCTTATGTTCTTGTTACTACTTTCAACAGAAAGACTTCTGATTGGAAAAAAAGCGACAGTTGCTTGTGCACAATTCTGTTTTTATTAAAGATAAAGGCACACACACGTGTGTGTGTGTACAGAGTCAGGAATTATATATATACTTTATATATATATATATATATATACCCATATATATATACCCATATATATATACCTATATATATATACCTATATATATATATACACATACACACACATATACGTAAAGTAACAGTGGTTCTATCTGGGCCACAGATTTCGAGGTAATTTTTCTTCCTGTGTTTTCTGATCGTTATTCAAAGAGCATAGATGATTGCTGTGTGAGAAAGGGGTCATGTTTATGATTCTTGACCAAGTCGTTTGAATCCATCAGTTCTAGAGAGTAAGAGGACCTGCATCTCGTCTACTGTTGACATTGTAGGAAGGAACATGAGCCAGCGAAGCCAGAGTGAGAACTGCTCCTTCCATGACGTGGATGTGCTGATGCAAACCGTGCAGCTGGCTGTCCACACCCCTACCTTCCTCCTCGGTCTCCTCCTCAACTTGCTCGCCATCCGAGGCTTCAGCTCCTTCCTGAACAAGAGGTGGCCCTGCTACGCTGCCACCTCCATCTACATGATCAACCTGGCAGTCTTCGACCTGCTGCTGGTGTTCTCTCTCCCATTCAAGATGGCCCTGACTCACGTGCAGGCCCCCCTTCCTCCCTTCTGTACCCTAGTGGAGTGCCTTTACTTCATCAGCATGTATGGGAGCATCTTCACTGTCTGCTCCATCAGCCTGGACAGATTCTTGGCCATCCGGTACCCGCTCCTGGTCAGCCACCTCCGGTCCCCCAGGAAGACCTTCGGGATCTGCTGCACCATCTGGGTCCTGGTGTGGGTGGGGAGCACCCCCATCTATAGCTTCCACGGGAACGTGGAAAACCTCACGTGCTTTCACAACCTGTCTGACGGCACCTGGAGCGCCAAGGTCTTTTTCCCTCTTGAGGTCTTCGGCTTCCTTCTTCCCATGAGCATCATGGGTTTCTGCTCCTCCAGGAGCATTTGCATTCTGGTCGCCCGTCGGGACCACACCCAGGACTGGGTCCAGCAGAAGGCCTGTATCTGGACTATCGCGGCCAGTCTGGCTGTCTTTGTGGTCTCCTTTCTGCCAGTCCACCTGAGTTTCCTCTTGCAGTTCCTGGTGAGGAATGGCTTCATCGTGGAGTGCAGAGCCAAGCAGAACATCATCTTGTTCCTGCAACTGTCCATGTGTTTCTCCAACATCAACTGCTGCCTGGATGTTTTCTGCTACTACTTTGTCATCAAAGAATTCCGCATGGACATGATGGCCCGCCAGCCTTCCAGGGTCCAGCTGGTCCTCCAGAATACCATGACCACCATGGCTAAGGGAAGAAAGCTGTGCTTGGAGGAAGGGAACCTCAGTCTGAATTCCATAGCAGATACCTCTTCCTAGGGCTCTGATATGGGGGGCTGACACATGGCACATTTACTGGTGTGCCATTCCTCTGATGCTCACTTGAATGCCATCTTTGCTCACTGTGACCCCAAACCCTTTCCCCAGCACCCAGACAACTTGACATAAACCACTCAGTGTCTGGGGAGCTCTGAAGAACCTAAGACCCAGGTGAACTCTTGATTTCTAAGCCTAAAAAGCATGAGGTGGCAGAACTGAGAAAGAGAATGAGACCATCTGAATAAGGCTGTTTCCCAGCTCTCCTCTGTCCTTCTGTTAGGCTAGAAGATTCTGGAAAGGAAGAGAGAGAGGAGTTAGGAGAGAGAATCAAGAGGGTTGGCATGGAGGAGAGATGGAGTGGGAGGGATGGACCAAGCTCCTTTTTGGTTTGGGGATCCCGGCGTGGAGCAGTTGTACTTTCTGGTCTCTTCTGGAGCTCTGTTGGCCCATGACCTCACAGAGATGCCAGCAGAATGGGTGACTGGGGAGAGCAAGTATGTGCAGAGAGCCCCGAGTTTTCTATGGGCCTTGGAAAGGCCTGGAAGGCCAGCCAAACCTTCCTGTGCCCAGGACAAAGCTGCAGAGGGACTGAGGCGGGCTGGTGTGGACCAGGCTTTGTGATGCTGTGGACACTTCGTGAAAATAGTGGGGACAGAGTGGAAAGGCGCTGGTGACACCTGAGAGCCACGAGGGGGCAGGATATACCTGGGAAAGGTAGGAGACAGGCCAAGGGCCGGAATGGGACGGCCCCTCCCGCATTGCCATTGGGGCGTCCACTGCGTGGAGTCTGAGCTCTGGCCCAGGGGCAGGAGAGGCAGTAGAGACAAGCCTGGGAGTGGGAAATTCCTGGACGTGACCAGTTTGCTCTCTTGAACAGGCTGCGATGTTGTTGATTAGGTTTAGTTTCCTTGAGAATGATGAGAAGGGATCAGGCTTGATTCGGTTCAGCCAGAGGAGGGCAAGGTGTTTGCCTTGCCCACCTGAGTGCTGGCCGGGCAGCTGGCCACGGTGGCACCATCCACACAGATGTCCCCATCCGGTGGCTAGGAGGGAGAAGGTGAGACAGCCAGGAATAGAGGAACCATCCTGGCGACACAGGGCTCTTGGCAGTTCCTCGTTGGAAACTGTAAACGACTGAATCATAGTTTGGACTGGGCTTCTCTCATGCCCTAGAGAAGGTGCAGTGGTGACAGCTGAAAGCCTGCCACTGACTCAGCCTCCGGAGACTGAAATGGTGATCAGGGTAAATCGTGGGGTGGTTTGCAAGGCGGAGCGAGTGGGATGAGAAGTAACAAATGAGACAATGTGAACGGGGTGGCG